TTTAGAAATTCAATCTAATTCAACTATCACCAATTATTTTTTTTTTTGGTTGAAACATTAGAATTAAATCTCACATATTTTGACAATAATTAAATTTTGAATTATTAATATCTGTACTGCAAGAGCAATTCAAGTTCGTCATATAAGAGAGAATTAAATTTCACGAAGAATAATCATGTTAGTTTTCATGACATTTTCACCAACGATCAATTCTTTTCAAAAAAATCTAAATTCATACAAAAAAAGAAAAAAATTAATTTATCGAAGAACTTGTGTAAAAAAAAATATTCTTTGTATTTTATTTTTAGAAAATATATATTTAGATTAATATTTTCCTTCGAACCTAAATTATTGAATGATACCCAAACATAGAAATTATCGATAATAAAATCTACAATCATCAAAATAACTTTCGTCGCAATTTTTTTAACCTTTACTATATGACCCATCATTTGCCTTACATAGGAATATACCTTCACAGGGAATAGTTACTATTTCTGTCTCATAGTTAATATATGGATGAAGCGTCATGTGATTCATTTCATATGATTTTATCCTATAATGAGTGTCTCGCACATGTAATGACGATCATATTTTGAAGCATAGCTCGTTTAATATTAGCAACTGATATTCATAGCTTGTCGTTTTTATCCCATCCATGTGCTATGAATAATCAAAGCATATATATACTTAATAATCTTTTTTCTTTATTAGAAGACAAAAATAAATAAATAAAAGGTACGCAACAACACACAACTTTTAATCCATAAATAGACATTTGATTTTAGCCTACCGTTGAGATTATCTATTCGTTTTACAAATATTTCGATTTCGTGATGGGGCATGGCATATCAAGGGAAAAATTAATCAACGACGACAATGATGCTTCAAAAAAGAAACGACATTCATCTTCACTTGGTACGTATAATAGATAATCGATTATTTCCTTAGAAGTTTAAATAAATTCTTTCATTTTTAGAGACCAAAGTGAAAAAGGATAGCATAGAACTCACCGAAGAACGTAAGAAAATATTCTGTTACTCTCTATATATATTGAAATCACTAATTTATTTTTTTATTTTTTTAGAACTTCGAGAAGTGAGAGATGTAAGTTGGTATATTATTTATTTATTTATTTATTTTTCTATTTTTCCTAACATTTAGGCCTATCGTCGTTCATCTGAGATACTGATTTGTCCTCCATTTTGTTTTGTACGATCAATTGTATAAATGTTTATTGTAATAATAAAGATTTAATTTGTAGATTATTACATTCAATGTTTCGAACACGTTTCAAACCAGTATAGATTAACAAAAAAATTGATTGTTGATTTACGATTGTCTATTATTTGACTTTAAGGATTTGTTTGAAATGATTTTTCTTTAAAGATATTTATCTATTCGAAAAAGTAAACTCATCAGTCGCATAAATCATTTTGAAGAATGAACAAAACTAAATAGAACAATATATGAAAAAAAAAATGTGACTATTACTATTATTGTAATAAAACCAATAGACTATTAATTTTTATTTGAAAATATGATTGACTAACTTAACCTCTCATTCAAAGATTGAATTAGTACTGATTTCATTTCTTACTTAAAAATATCATCGATACTCATTCATAAAAAAGAACTGTATAGTTGCTTGCGTTTAACACACAATGATATGAATTAGAAAAAAAAAAGCATCAAATTTCATATTTGTTATATCAGTCTTAATATTTGTAGTTAATTTTAGAAGATTATACTCATTAAACAAACATAAATTCTCTTACAATAAAGGAAAAAAGTTCTATCACAATCGTACTATTACTCCAACCTATTGAAAATCGTTTAACAGTCTAGACACATTACTACACATTCGAGTTTTTCTATTAAGCAATTTATATGTAAAATAAAAAGTAACAATTCTATGACTCAAGGTTCCTTGAAAAATTGTCATGATAATTTCTTAGTTATTTGAGTTTCGTTCCGATCTTGTAATTTGTTTAAGATTAATTTATATTTGCATAGAACTATCTAATAAATTATTCGCTATCATTATTCGTTTTCTTGTTATCTTTGATAGGGTTAACGGATTTTCATGTCGCACTACTGCCGATATATTGAGTTATTCATTACAACCGATGGTATATTGACAGTAGATCACTGATCGAAGAACAATGATTGTTACATCGTGGTTAAATAGCAGTCAGATGGTGGCCGATCGTTAAAATTGAATCGACTTGAAATTCAAATACATGAGATGATAAACATTAAATCATGCTTATTATTAGACAATTATTTGCTCTTCTTTTTTCATTCTTACTCTCTTTCTTTCTGTATTAAATTTTTATTTATCTTTTACTTCAACAAGATCATATTGCACTGAGACAGGGAAAAATGTCTATTAAGCATCACAAATTAAGATATTTGACCATCAAATCAGTTATATGCGAAATACGTACTAAATTAATTATATATGAAATGAACATAAAGGTATGGATGAGAGTCAAATTGTAGGATATGATTGTGGACGAAAACGAAACTCATGCTTACGGACTCATTCTGATCTTTTGAAACTTGATCTTGTTGTACAATTCTATGAACTTCATGGAGTACTTTGATTATAGTCAAAATTTGATCTTCGTTATTTGATACCCACATTCTTAAGAGAAACATCGAACACCTTTTGATTTTCTTTCATTTATTTTTATCCATCCAGATAGCAATTTGACAAACTTCAGGAGTACGTCCTTGATCGGGAATTTTATTGTCACTGTGCTCTTTTCTGTTAAACTGTATAACATGAGAGAAGAAAATATGCAAATTTGAGAAAATGAATTTGTTTTTTGAGTGTCTTCCTTAAATCCACAATTTTATAATAAAAATTAATAATAAAAAAAAAAAACGTAAGTATACACTATCATGATTTTTGTTTTGTATAAAGAAACAGAGAAAATTAGAAGAAGTCTTACACATACTATTATTTCATCTGTAACAGCATATAAATGTATAGAACAAGAAAAAAAAACGTCCGTATTGAACTTTTTTTTGGAGAACTGCGTTTGTTTAGAAATTAATATCGACAATGATCATAAAAAATCAGATATACCCGCAAATGAGTAACTGGTCAACAACACAATTTGATGATTCTCAGAATCTACGGTCGTTTTTGAATAACAGTGACGAAATTATAAATGTTAATGAAAATTGCTTCACCAATGATCAGATGAGCAAGTAAGTCAAACTAAGAATTTATTTAAAGAAGTTATCTTTTTTTGTATTTCCATCTTCGAGATTAAAATCAGTATGTAAGTGGGCAAATTGGTGGTCAACGATATTACCATGTGTTCAAGGTATGCTGTTAGGTGTACTCATGGGTGGTTTGATGTTAGCCACTGTACTTGCACTCTGGTTGATACCATCACACTACACAACAGCAGTAATCATAACTAATGGTAAATATTTAACTTGCTAGTTTATACTGGTTTGTCTAGAACTAGATGAATTCATAAAACTCCGGCATGTTTTCAAGTAAAGAGTCATTCATTACAACAGATGATTACTCTGTCCTAAAGAATTAAAAAGTGAAGTACGCAAAATGTAGATATATAGCTGGATGTATAAAGAAATAGAAGTACGTACAAACATAGTCATACAGTATACACATGGACTTAGAGAATAGATGTCTTGTATTGATCGAGGAACACGCAAAGGTTGATGCTAATAGGAAAATAGGTATCGACATTTAGGCATACACATAGTACGATATTACAGAAAGTCGTAAACAAGAAAAGAATGGACTAGAAGATCTTATAGAATCCTGATAAATTCAAATCAAGTATCATATATGAAATTTTCTAAATTTTCATAGCCGGAATCTGATGCTATTTCAGAGTTTTCTATGAAACTACACAGTTAGATTACGATAAAATTCCATTCCTTCTTCTAAGATTAACAAAAGAGCATAAATATGATTTATATTGAACAGAAAATATAAAAACTATACTAATGAATGTTTCTATACAATGATAATTAGAACAGAAACATAACTTGGTAAGAATCGTTTTTTAAAACTTGATCAAAATGTAAGAACAATTTCAACAATAAAATCTAACTATATCAAACGAACATTTTGATTAAAAATAGAATGTCTCAAAATAAGATATTCAATCTTGAATATATCAACAATACATAATAGATAAATTATAGTTTATGAAAATAAAAAAAAGAAAATAAAACTTCATTTATAATATTTTTGCAAGCGGTAGGAAAGAAAAAGACGGAGTAGACCACTTGATTTTGTAGAAACAAGGAGAACTAATTTAGATCTAAATAAGAGTTCTTTTCAACTATTATATTGTTTTAATTAGAATGATATTTTCATGCAACTGGATCGATGTTGAAAGCTATTCCCTTTTTATCAATGATCTGCCTCTACTATTGATCTTTATTTGTGAAGATTGTGAGTTTTTCAATGTAAATACAATAAAATTAAGTTTATTAAATTATATGACAAAAAAAATACATGTACTCTTATTTTAAAAACAAGCAATTTGGTAGTAAGAAAAGTTAATTGGATAATTTATACCTTAAAGAGTCCCATTAATTGTTCTAAATTATTTGTCTCTTGTTTAACAAATGGAATAGCTGGTTCTAAATTAAAATTGTTATCTTCTAAAATACTTTTTGCTTGAGCCTCGGTCAAAAAACGAATAATAATTCCATATGGGCGAACATACTTCGGATCGTTCACAATATAATATTCATTTTTGGAACATTCTGGTACTCGAATTTTTTTTGGGTGAATTCGACATTGTAAAGCAATTTCTATATAGTAATATTTATTGTATTGAATCGGTTTGACTAATCGACAATGTTCACTATTATCTGTCAAATGTTTTACCTTTGGTGTTAAAAATACACCTTTTCCACATGTTGTCTCATTAAATAAAGATGCATTTGGACCAACATCTTTTGAAGTTACACCCCATTCACTGTTCTTGCCTTGAAAAACTTTAAAACCTTCAAAGGCTATGGCTTTCAAGACTTCCAATACATCACGACGAATTCCATGAAATCCAACAGCCCATTCACCAGCACCACCATCACATGCAAGCCACTGTGCACCACTAGAACCAAATTTATCGATATCCAAACCATAACGTATCCAATTTTTAAAAGGGGTGTAATAGTCCCATTTACCACGGCTTAACTTCACCGGTTCTTCATTACAATATCGAAGATCACCTTTCTGGTTAAACATATCAGATGGAAGTCCAAAAAATCTTGCTGGATTAAAGTCTTGAATAACACGTTCGAGATCATTTTCGGTCCAATAATTAGATGCCATTCTAAAAATGTGTTTACATTAGCAAAATATATAATATTTTTTATCACTTTTGTCACTGATAGAAATAGATTGATATAAAAACATACTTATTAACATCCGTGAAGATTTTTTTCACTACGAATAGCGTAATTATTATATTGAAACAAAGCTCTGAACGCTTCATAAATTGTCATCTGTATATACACAACCTTTTAGATATTGCATATTAAGATGTGTCCGATTAAAATTTTCTGTCTATATGAAACTTCAAATGTATTTGCAGTTTTAAGTTTTAAATAATCCTGAAGCTTTTCTATTAGAATAAATGACACAATATCACAAGTATCTTAAACAAAAAGAGCATTTATATTTACCTGTGCCTTACCACTGTATTTTGGAAGCTTCGTAAAAATATTTGAATTGACTAGTAAACTCAATTTAAATAGGAATCATGAGAAGATCAGAAAGGTATGTGATAAAATTGTAAGTTGGAAGAAACCAACATGAATTGTGTTGTCAACTGCTGACGCACAACAATGAATGCACAATAGCGAGAAAGGAAGAAAAAGGTAAATAAATAACATAACAAAATATAATCTTTTAAGACACACACGTTATTTTATTTCTTTGGTGAAATTTCAAACAAAGATGACGACATTACTCTAGAAGCTATTTTGAATATTTTACTTCTATGTTTTTTTGTTACATACTGATAATTCATTTTCTCTTGTGATGTCTTTCATTAAAAAAAAAATACGATTATGTTGCCATTTTTCAACTGTGTTCGTTCTGTCTCTCGATATTCTTTCACCTATATTTCTTTTTTCTGTCTACCAAATCCTACTGCAAAGTATGACACTGTTGAAGAGTCAATCAATTGATAGACAGAAAATCTTTTTTTTTTTATCGTTAGTTATTTTATTGAATGATGATTTTTAGCTTTAAAAATTTATTAGAAGGTTTTAATTTCTTTATAATTACTTTGCATAAAATCATATACAAGAGCTGATGATAATTGTTTTACTTTATGCAGAAGAGTCTTTCAACAAAAAGCTGCGATTCTCTTCATATCACATGAAAAATCAACTTTCTATTTCAAACTTTTCACGAATAAAGTCCTTAATGAGATTAGTTCATTGAGTAAGTTTTAGCTTTTCTAGTATTTCCTGTTTGGAGATGTAAATATATAAACAAAATTTGCTTGTACACCTAAGAGAATACCTCATGATAGAAGATATCAGAAAGGTTACAACTCGTCCAATAAACTAATCTCATTGCAAATTTAATTTTGTGCAAAGTTTGAAATTGAAACTCGATTTTCTATGCAACCTGAGGGGACACAGTCTTTTATTGAAAAATCTAGTAAGAATTCGATATGTTAAGAAGGAAGACCTGAAAAACCTAATCATTCTAGACCTTTCTATTGCTCAAATAGCCATCGTCTCGATCAAAAAAACCAATTTGATATCTGCAGAGGTTCTCTCGTGAGTTAAGTATATGTATACTATACCTAGACTATTCTATAACATCCATATGTGTAACATGTACATCGGAATAAAAATTTGCACCAAAAATCCTAATTTTAGTGTATCTCAGGGTTTCTTCTCGTAGCCAAATTTCGCAACTGTATATGTACAGACCCAATCACCAATGGGTTAATATGAATAGTTTTGCTGCTGACACAATGCACACAATGAAAAATTGTTTTTCGATAAAATATAAATCACTCTTATTTTTTATAACATTGCAAATATGTCAAAACTACTTGTTGAAAAGAGAATAATAAATCATTTTAAAATATAAGTCAAATTGTAATTCAAATAAATAAATACACCAATACAGAAAAATAAAACTTATTCGTAAACAACTATGCATGTTTATAATTTGATTGTTGAATTATTTGAATAAATATTAAATGATAATTAGAGACAACAAATGATGCAAAATGAAATATATTCATGATATAGTAAATGAAAGATTCATAAATTGAATAATTTAAAACATTATTTAAAAATTAAAACATTAATTTAAATAATTCATTCATGCAAAAAAAAAAAAATTTTTTTTGTTTCAAGTAATCCGTATTCGAAAATAAAAAAAGAACAATTTATTGTCATTATTTGTTTTTTTCTTTTTAATTAACTGGTGGCGGTGGAATACTTGAATTCCATATTGGTTCATTTTGTGGTTGTGTTGAGTCAAAAAAATTTTCTGGATCATTGAGTAATAATTCTAAATTATATGTTAAATAAGTTTTATTTGTATCAGATAATTCTTTCAATTGATTAACTTGTGTAAGTATATATGAATTAGTATTTTTAGCAAGATGTGATCGAATTTTCATTCGACATAATTGTTTTAATCGAAATCCTCTTTTCATACGTTCACGAACTTGACAAAGTATTGGTTCTAAGATAGACACATTTTGTTGATCATCTTGTCGAGACCTATTAATCAATAATAGATTTAAACATAAAACAGCCAAACAAAGATTCATTTTAAATCGAAAAATATAGAGATTGAGAATATCTCAGGACATAAGAATTTGAATAATATCATAGAAACCTAAAGCCTGTCATGTATTTTTGCTAGAAAGTCTTAACTTTTTTGCTTATGATTCAAATCTTGAAATTCTACTTAATCTTCTCAAAATTTCCTTATCTGAATCGAAACTGTAGAATTGAAATAGTATAACTTCCATTCCTTGGCATCATCTTTTCTTCATTCTCACGAAAAAAAAAACTCTTACAAATTAAATTCTTGTTGTTGTTGATCTAAATATTGTTGAAAACCTTTTGTTTCACATAATGGTTCAATAATATCCATAAGATTAACACGTATATTTGGTACACGAAGATGTATTAAAAAACAAATTTGAATAATTTGTGCAAAATATTTTTGAATATTATTTAAACGAACAATTAATAATTGTGAAAGATAAACTCGTGGTACAGAATATGATTGATTAATTCCAGTTGGCCATAGAACATGAAAAAATGTTTCCATATTTGTTAATGATAATAAAATTGGTTGTTTAGATAATAAATTATAAAGTTCATCTAAAAATGCTGCATGACATGTTAATGGTAAAAATATACAACCAATAATAAGTGCACGTAATATTGATTGTTGAGAACATATTTGTGAATTAAGACGAAAGACAATTCGACGATAAAGTGAACGTGATGAAATATTATGAAAATATCGAGCTAAAATTTCATTTTAACAAAAAATGTATACAGTACTAGATAAATATAGTCTGTCTACTATGAAGTGCTACTATTATGAAACACGATTGAAAAAGAGTGTTGAAGTATATAAGGTAGAAATTCGCATTCACCAATTCTCTATCCAAACATTATTGACATACAACCAAAAGCCATATATCAATAAAGTCTCGTTATAATATATGAATTAAATAGAAGAATGGTGAAGAAGTGTGTTCCAAAAGTTCGCATGAAAAGAACAAATTTAAATACCTTGGATTGTTGAAGCCCTACTCATGTTTTTTATTTCGTTCGGACTTTTAGAATACCCTGTACATAGAATAAAACAATCTCCTTGTGATTACCAAAAGCATCTACATTGTATTTCATATTTTGGATGCATTCAAGCGACAATACGCCCTGATTGCAAGCACTAACACATGTTCAATTAGTTCACATTTTGCTGGAGTTATTATTCAAACATTATCTTCCTCTTATGATCACCTTATCGATTATGTTGACGTTATCTCCAGTCAAAAATTGCCTTAAAATAACTGAAATATTATTTTTATTCATTTAGAAATTCCCATGAGACGACAAATTTGTTCTATAACACGGATTGATGATCTCTGGGTGTGCTAACTATTTAGTTTTTCGCAAAGAAAAGATTATGTTTGAATCATAACTCCAATACATGTGAATCAATTGAGGACTAATTGATGCTTGCGATTAGGTTTTATTGTTGCATTCAGACATTCAAAATATTAACTTAATATGGTAAAGGATGGATACACTTCAGGTTGGATAGCTACTTTTGTCTAGGACTTATATATCTATATTATTTTTATTTAATAATATTTTACCAGCATCTTGAAGAAATAAATCAATTTTTGATTGATCAGATTCTGATCCATCTCGTATTAATGGAAAATGAAGTATTGGTGTACTTTCAATAATAGCCATAATTTGAATTTGTAATATTATTGGATATGATATAAAATGATCAGTTAAATCAGCATAAACAATTCTATTTAAATATTTTTCTATTAAAATTTTATATTTAATATCATTATGAAATTCAATAAGTTCATCAAGAAATGATATAAAATAATGAACACGTTCATAATATTTATTCGAACAAAGTAAACCAATTTCGGCTACTGTTGATAAAAATAATGATCGTTCATATGTTAAATACATTTCAGCAATATTTATTAATGATATTAAATATGACGGAGACATCATATGAGACATTGATATAGCAATATCTTTATTCTAAAAAGATAATTTAAATAAAAATATTAAAATCAAATAAAATATATACTTCAAGAAGATCATCAGCAAATTGACGAGCACATTGTGTTGGTGTTAAATAAGTTGGTTGTTGTTGTAATACAATATCCATGAATGAAAAAAAAATATCTGAAAAAAAGAAAAAATTATATTCTAATCAATGGATAGAAAATTTCGTTGAAGTTTAAAAAAGAAAAATAAAAAAGTTTCTTTGTATTACAAATAAATTGAAAGATAAATTTTATTTCGAATTTTTTCTATAAACTTGAGTATGAAGAGTTTGACATAAAGCATAAAATCCTCGATTTCTCTCGAATAGAACATGAGCTTTACCACATTGTGGACATAATCCATCATATCCTACTAGAGATCTCTCACTTTCCAATCCATATAAATCTATATTATTACATTTAATTTTTGCTTTAACAAGATATTGAATACTTCCCATACGTATATATGTACCAAGTAAATTTTGTTCATTAATTATTTCTATCGATTCACTCATTGTAAGATTATTTACTTGATCTGTTATAGTTTCAATTATTTTTTGTATTTCTTTGACTTGATCAATAGATGCATCACCTTCATTAATAAGTTCTTGTATATTAGAAACTGTTTCAGAGATTTGTTCATCATATTTGGATATTTTCTTTTTTAATTTTTCTACTTCAAGATTATATTCTTGATCAATTTCATTATATTTTTTATGACGCCACATTTGTAACATAGCTAATGGACCTGTTTTCTCATCAATTTGAAGTCTCATCTTTACTAAAAACAAAATAGATATCAATCTTATCAAATAGATTTACAAAAAATAAAATTTTTACATTCATTAAGACAATCAGTCATAGGTATTAATTCATTATTTACTTGAATTTGATGTTCATTAAAATGTTTTGAACATAAATTTTTTTGACAATGATGACATAAACAAGTAATAGGTCGTTTACAACCATCAATTGAACATACTAATGAAGATGATGTCATTTTCTATGATCTAATAAGAATTATTTGAATGAATGTTCAATGTTTATTTTATTCGTTATTCATATTCTCCAGTAAAATAAGTTATGAGTGAATGTCGCTAGTAATTAAAAGATGTCTCTAATAGATTAATTATTAATTAAATACATATTTCAAAAAAAATTTTCTTTTTTCTTATAAAGTTTTCTATTTAATAATTATTGTATTATAAAACATAATTGATCATTGGTCATTATTTGTTGTCATAGAAATGATCATCTATAATGGTATTGAACAAATGGACGAATAATTGATCCAAGTGCCTCTATACTTGTAGTTTTTATATATTTGTGTTAATATTAAAAATTTAAGTTTACATAAAATGTCTCAAAGATACCGGAACAAGATCAGTGATAATCTACATATACATAATGGTGAAAGTGATTTAGAATCAAATAATGGATATGATAGTTCAGAAAGTACTTTACCAATTGATCCAACACTTACTGGTCTTGCTGGACTTTCTCTTCTTGACGTATGTATTTTATTTTTTTGAATAAATTCGTAATCCTTTGAAAATATATTAGAATTTGATAAATTAATACGTATCGACAATGTATTAATTCATAAGATACGATGGAGATTGTATCTTGAAATATGTTGCGAATGTCATGCGTTATTTTTTTGAGTTAGGTTTTAGATCTTCTATGTTTTTTAATGAAAAATATTTGACAAAATATTCATTGATTTTTCAGTCTTTTTAAGAAGTTTGCAAAATTTCGTGTTCTTTTCAACTATGACTTCAAAGTTTTTGTAAGACTTCT